GGAGGAGGAGGAGGAGGAGGAGGAAAAGACGACGACGAGGACGGGGAAGGAAGGAAACAAATAAGGATCCTCACCGCCTTTCCAAACCGAAGTGCCACTCGCCGGGGCGCGAGGTGGGGGCGCGCCAGGGGCGACGGTTGCGGCCTCAGGGAGGCAGAGCGCAGGGAAGCGGCCGGCGTCTAGGAAAAGGTTCGGGACGTGGCGGCCGTTAGGAGGCTCGCGCGGGGCGCCAACGGCAGCGCGGAGTTCGAGGACGAGAAAAGAGAGACGGAGGAGCTCCGAAGGGAACAGCGCGTGGACTTGCCCGCCTCAGGCGCCTGCTGGCGGAGTTTGTTTATGTCTCGGATTGCCCTGCTGTACAGGGCGAAGAAGGGAGGGCAGCTGTGGGCGCATGCGCAACACCGTGGGTTTGTGACGCAGAGGGGACCTCGGCAAGACCTCCTCCTCGGGAGGGCTCGCGGTGCCCACGGCCTGCCCGCGCGAGCAAAGGGCGCCGAGTAAACCCCGGAGGGCGTCACAGGTGGGCAGAAAGAACCCCCTCACGCGCCCCTCTGCCTGCCTCCCTAGGGGCCCCTGTCCCGATTACTCGCATGGATCGTGAGGAACACAGCTGGGCATTTTAGGGCGCCGGAGGAAGTTTTGAGGAATTGCTCCACTTCTCCGAGCCCCTTCCGAAGAAATGCGTCCCTGTACCCGGAGCCCTGTTTTCACCCATTTCAGTCTGCTTGTCCGAAAGCGGTTGCAGGCCGCCCCGCAAACCTTGCCAGCCCAGCCTCTGTAATGCCTTTCTTGGGTTCTAAAATCTCCGGGGATCAGATATTAGTCGCCTGACAATCCTGCTTGATACCATAGAGACACTTGAGGGCTGGTAGCCTGGAGTCCTCAAAAATAACTCCCGACTTACTTTATGAACCATCTCCATTTGTTGGAGGGTGTTTTGCTGTTTCAGTTCAACCAGTTTTGCATTATTAGATGACATCTCCATGTGTATGCTGGATTTACAAGTTTTTTTTAAATGTAGATAGAGGGATGTACTGTAAAATAATGGCCCTACTCCAGCAGCTGTTGGGGGAATTAAAATCAGTTCCAACGCATGTGGAAAATACCAACTGAGGAAGGGGTAGGCCTAATCCATCATCCTAACTCCTGACAGGGAGGAGCAAGACTGATGAGTGCACTACTCTTTAAATGGCATTTACTTTATATTTCCATGCAAGGGTGTAGGTAATGACCTCCACTGCTCACCATAGTAATGTTACATCCAGCCAGCTCTAGCTGTTCCATGAATTTTTAATACGTTTGTGTAAATTTTTCTCTTCACACTTACACTGCAGACACCACTATAAATATGGCCCAGATCTAATTTGAGACTGCTGGGCCTATCAGAACCTCAACAAATCTTAAGCACACCTTGAATGTGTATGTTGACAGGTTAGCCTGACATATTTTCCAGTTCTAACTTTGAAACATCAATATTTTCAAACATTCTGTGCATACTTGTGAGCCCTATGGAAATCAGTGAGCTTCTCCAATAAACAACCAGGTTAATTGGTAAATACCTCTCTGGAATTATGAAACAGGGAAAAATAGTACTTCAGTGTTTGTTTTCAACAGCAAAAGGACTGCCAGTTTCCATGTGTCAGGTTTCACAATCTATTGCTTTAATAACCAAAAGCTGGTGCAGTATAAGGATGTTATTAGACTTAGACCTATGAATAATAGTTGTTTTTGCTTCTAAACAAATTATGAGCCTCTGTTCCGAACAGCCAAGAATTGAAGGGGAAAATTGTAAATGGCACCCACAGCAGTGTAAGTAAATGGATAAGGATAGCAGAGCACGTTGAGGTGGACAGTGAAAGGTTGCCTAAAACAAACTAGCTACAGTTTGCTTTCAGATCAGAACTCTTCTGCAGTGCTGAAGATAATGCTTTTTTGCAGCCAGATTAAAGCAGAACTAACATGACAGGTCCACATGGCCCTTAATGAAACATCATCCCCCTCTCCAAATCTGATATCCTATTGTTTGCCAGTAACTAGAATACTGAAATGGAAGCATAGTAACAAATTTACAGTAATTCATTTTTGTGGGGTAGAATGTTTTTATTTGGATTAAACAAGTTTCTAAGTGTAAAAGGAGCTTAAAGAATGAAATATTTAAACTTCAAACCACAGCCATTATCAAAATCCACAACACAATCCAAAAGAACAACAGGCAAGAAACAAATATAATTAGCAAACACTTTATCTTAGCCATGTTTACTTCAGTTCTCAAACAATAACAGCACATGTCAGGATATTGACCTTTTCGTAGATTTAAATTAAAATTTCAAGTTACAATTAATGTATCTAGAAATAATGTTACATATATTTCTGAGGTTCAGGTTAACTTGTTTATTCCCTATTTTTTAAAGTAAGAATAAAAGGGTACAAATTCTTTCTGAGTTCCTGTGAGACAGGGGGTGAGAGCAGTGCCCCTTTTGCCGGAGTGCCGTCCCTCCCCCTCACAGTGGAAAAGGAAATACAGACCATGACCATCTCATCCCCTAAGAGAACGGAGCAGCCGGAGACAGACACAGGTGATGTAAAGGGAGGAATACGGAAGTTGGCAGTCAAAGGAATTAGGAAAATGGCAGGAGTGGAGCGGAAGAAGAGGGTGGAGATAGAAGCAGGGGTAGCAGATATAAAGGGGGGGGAGAACAGTTGCCCACAGGGTGGGAGTGGGTCTTGATGGAGGATCCCTGGACCAGAGCATGGGAGAGACTAAGAGTCCCGAGAGAGGAGGCCGATTACAGGAAAAGCAGATTCCCCCCAGACCGTCATAGTGGGGAGAGGCCGAGGCTAAGGAGTGGAGGAGAACACTAAGAGAGGAGAAAGAAGGGAGAGATAGAGAAAAGAGAGACTTGAATGGAGGGTGAGCAGAATGAGGATGAGGGGATACAGGGGGAGACCCTGGAATGCACACACATCCACCCGAGACTCCGTGTGGATGGACAACGGGGACCATGACATCATGCCCCTGCTGGAGGGTGAGACAGGACAAACACGAAACCCAAACCCATCGCTAGACTGGCCGGGACCATGGAACTTGGGTGAAGGTAACCCATTCCTGAATGAAGACTGGAAACCCCTTGCTGACCTGTTGTCAGAAGGAGATAAACGTTGGATTAATTCCGTTGACACTAGTTATCTTTTGAACACCCCAATAAATGTTACCCCTTTTTCAAAACCACATAAATCTGATTTGAGCGAAAAAAGGAGCCCAAAGTCGAACCTTCACATATTGACGCCCAACACGGGGAGCCTTCACCATTAGAAGGTCCCACAGAAGAATGGCTCCACAAAGTAACTGAAGGACAAGAAACCCTGACGAAACAACTAGCAGAGCAACAAAACTTACTGATCACATAACTAATGAGAACCCACCTTGCTACGCCACTAGTACCCGGGACGATGCCACAGAAAATGTTAATAGCGAGTCAGCCACCCATAAAAATACAAAAAAATTGGCCCACATGATGACCCAGTGGCATTTCTCAACACGTTTGAACAAGTGGCCACAACAGCGCAATGGCCATTAGAACATTGGGCTTTAATACACATGCTGTACCTAACAGGCCTACCGCAATAAATAGTAGACATGTTAGATCCTACCGAAGCGGGAGACTACATGAAAGTAAAAACAGCGATCCTAAACACACTGAACCTGAATGAAGAGGTGTACCAACGACAGTTCAGTGACCTCAGATTATGCCCTGGGATATACCCACAAAATCTAGCACAAAAAATGAGAGTCAACGCCACAAGGTGGGTGAAGCCTAAAGGGAAAACTGCAGAACAGGTGCTGGAAATAATGATAATGAAGCAACTCGTGTTGACTTTAGGAGCAGGCCCCAGAAACTGGGTAATGAAGAACAGGCTCACCAACCTAGAGGGCACTGTAACACTGTTGGAAGATTATTTAGGAGCAGAAGAGCCATGACCAAACAAGATGATGATGCAGGTGGAAAAATCTAGAAACAAGGAATGGCGAAACCAACAGCCAGAAGAGCCATGACCAAACAAGATGATGACGCAGGTGGAAAAATCTAGAAACAAGGAGAGAACGGCGAAACCAACAGGAGACGCAAACACACAAGGTCCGAATGTCACAAACATGAGAACCAGGCCAGATCATGTGGAGTTCGTCAACCCTACCGTCAGCCGGGTACCAGACCTACCATAATGACAGAACTAGCACAGACGAGGCAAGCAGCAACATGGAACATGCAGAGAGAACGCATGGTAGTGCGCTACAGATGTGGGCAGTATGGACATAACAAAAAGTACTGCCTGGCATATGCGTTGTCGGCCAAGGTTGGTACGGAAGACTACCCAGGATGGGTGGTTAAAGCAAAGGTGAACAGAGTGTGGGAAAGGGCACTCATCGATAGAGCTTGTAGTAAATCCCTCATAAGAAACATGCAGGAACAAATGTATATCAAATGTGTGCACGGAGATGTTAAGCCCTATGGAATGGTGCTAGCACAAATAGAGATAGGAGATCAGAAGATAGAATTAGAGGTAGGACTGGTCCCTGGGTTAGGGAGAGAAATGTTATTAGGAAGACATTGGCACAGTATGAAGAATGTATGCCAGAACAAGAAATGTTTAAAATGTCCAGAGATCAAGTAAGGAATTGGCAACAGGATGATATGAGACTGGAGGAGATCCAGCTTAAGGCAGCTCCCAAAGGAGCCAACAAGAAGGGAGGAACGAACTTTGAGTTGAGAGAATACTGTACCGAGTGAGACAAACAGAATGGGGGGGGGGAGAGAGATGCAACTGGTGATACCAAAGAGGCTCAAAGGACTAATACTAGAACTTGCCCACAATGTGCCACTAGCCGGGCATTTGGCCGTGCAAAAGACTTTAGCCAGAGTGCAACAAAGATTCTTCTGGCCACTCGTGGCTAAAGAAAAGTGGAGGACTATTGTCACTCATGCCCTGAGTGCCAAATTACTCAACTGAAACCCAGACCTGGGGGGGGGGCTGATACCTATGCCTCTGGTAGATAGGCCATTCAACCAGATTGCTTTGGACATAGTGGGGCTGTCACATTCCCCCGGTGTCCCGTTTGTGTTCCCTCAAACACAGGTCCACCTTTGGACACTATGTATTATTTTCTCCCTTTACACGCTGCCATCAGCGGATCTTTATCCACACTGTACCAAATATGTTTCTTAGACCTGGGCTGCCAAATATAACAGGTTTATTTATTGTTTGATTGGTAAATCACAGAAGTAAAGTCATAGATGTTCTTTTATTGTTCAGTCATTAATCAATAGGATCACACATTTGCTTGTTTGCGTTCATTCCCATTAACCACTGTAACAATATCTTATGACTGTTTAGCTATTTTCTGTTACTTTTACAGTATCTCTTATCTATCTCTAACACACACCAACTTTCCAATCTCTGTCTTAACATTTCAAAAACTTTTCTCAAAACTCCCCTCAGTCTCCAACTGACTCCGCCCCTCCTGTCCTGCCATAGGCTCCTGCCTTAGAGCGCCATGTGAAGGACAGGCATGACTTGGGCATTCCACCACAGGGACCATTGGTGAAATTGGCAGGGGGGCATCTGTACATCCTAGAGATAATTGATTATGTCACACAGTACCCTGAAGCCATCCCCTTACGCACCACTACAGCTAAGATGTTGGCCAAAGAACTGATAGGGGTATTTTCCAGAATGGGATTCCCCAGGAAGGTGCTGACTAACCAGGGGTCAAATTTCATGAGTTTAACTTTTAAACAAATGTGGGAGTTGTTGGGGGTGAAACCAATGAAGACCTCTATTTATCATCCACAAGCAACTTTTAAACAAATGTGGGAGTTGTTGGGGTGAAACCAATGAAGACCTCTATCACCCACAAGCAAACGGCTTACTGGAAAGATTCAATAGGACCCTGAAAGGAATGCTCCAAAAGCTGGTTCAAGAGAAGCCCAAGTAGCGGCATACATTTCTTGCCCCACTGGTGTTTGCAGTAAGGGAAGCCAAACAGTCGCAGACTGGTTTCTCCCCCTTCAAGTTACTATATGGAGGAATCCTAGAGGGGTTTTGGATCTCCTTAGGGAAAAGTGGGAGGAAGGAGAGACCTCTCCAAGCCACTGCTGAAACAAATCATGGAATTGAGGGAGAGTTTGCATACTGCTTGGGACCTTGCTAAAGAAACACTAAGTAAAGCACAAGAGGATCAGAAAAGTAGGTATGACAAACGGGTGTGTGGCGTTCACCCTTATTATGTTAAATAAGTCATGCATTATTCATGTTTTATGCTGATGTGGTTGAGAGGTGGGGCCACTAGAGGTGTTAAAAGGTGGAGCCTGAGAGGAGAAGGGGAGTAGAGTTGAGTCAGAGTTAGAGGGAGAGAGATAGTTGGGGGAATCTGAGGAATGATTAGTTTGAGGAGTGAATAGTAACCTGTAAGATAACATAGAAGATTGGTATTGATGCTTGATGAACCTGAAGAAGATACTTATAAATTATTATA